TTTTGTCAACAACTCTCTCCTCAGGATCCACTTTTTTTTTCTTTTCTTTTTTTTTTTTTAAAAAACACACGCCCCTCTTCCTCCCTCTTTCAATCGTTCAATCATCATTTTCGCATTATTAAAAAATATTTCATCTTCTTCCTCTCTCGATCGCCCGTTGAACCGCCTTTTTGTTCGTCCCTCTTTCTTTCTTTCTTTCTTTCTTTCCTTCTCTTTTTCCTTTTTCTCTTCAGCTTGTTCGCGGCGCAAAAAAAGAGTGTCGGATGGCGACGAAAACGGCAGAAAAAAAAAAAAAAGGAAAAAAAAAGAAGTTGCGAACGGGAGACGAAAGAGGAAAGGAGCATACACAGGGTGTCCCGAAAAAGAGCTATGCACGAGGCCATTTCCATGGACTTTGACTTGTAAGGTGGAAAAAGTATGCGGGTGCGGTTAAAGTCCAGCGCTATGCAAAGGCACCGGAGAATTGTTATTTTTTTTTTTTCTTCTTCTTCTTCTTCTCTTCTCTCTCTATAGAGGCGCGTTAACTATTTTATTCCTCCCTTTTCTCTCTCTCTCTCTCTCTTTCTCATTTTTCTTTTTTTTTTTTTTCTCTAGGAACACCAACTATGCCTATTATACGTCGACGAAGTGGTCGGTTTCTTGAAATATCAAAGGAGAGGAAACTGTCCGCTTCGTCGAGCGTGGAAATATCAGGTTCTTTCTGCATTTTTTTTTTTTTTTTCTTTTTTCTTTTTGGCTATCCTTGAAAATAGACCGCTTCTTGAGCCTCTCATTTGTTTAATCTCTCAAAAAAAAATCATATGTCAAACTTCTGAAAACTTTCTCTCTCTCTCTCTCTCTCTCTCTCTTTCGCGCGCGCTCACTGTTGTTTTATTTATTTTTTTTTTCTTTTTTATTATAAATTGTAAAGCTATTTGTCATTATTTTCATTTTTCTCTCTCTTTCTCTCTCTCTCTCTCTCTCTCTCTCTCTTTTTCCACACGTAGTCCATCGATTTCCTGTCCCGGAAAAATTTGATATCTTTCTCTGTTTCATAGTATATATATTTTTATATTATATTATATATATATATATATATATTTATATATATATATAACTACCCACATATCAACGTCCTTTCTCTTTTTTCTTCTTCCTTCCTTTTGTTTAATTCTCTCACAGGCTCTTTCTCTCTTTCTTTTATACCTTTCGGATTATATATGCACGCACAAAACGCACGCAGGCAAGCACACACGTTCCAACGTATGCAGTGTGTGTATTTTTTTTTTTTTTCTCTCCGATTCGGCGCGCGCGTGCACATACACGCATGCACACAAACAAACACACGCACGCACACATACACACATACATACATACATCTTTTATGCTTCTCTCTTCGTCTTTCAACATACATATTGTAGTAATCTTACTTTTTGTTTGCTTCATCTTGTATACAAACTTACTCGCTAAAACATATATCCTAAGGTGTACTCTCTGTTCTCTTTCGTCTTTTCTCTTTTTTTTTTTCCTTTTTCATGTGATTACAAGTACATGGCGGTAGAGTATTTTAATACAGCTCGTTCTTTTATACTTTTTTTTTTTTTATGTATATATATATATGGCTTTTAATATATATATATATATATATATATATATATATACATATATATTTGTATATATAATATTTTTAGTACATTCTCTTATAGTTGAGGTCTGACGAATCCTGAATTTTTCATATTACCTGCTATAGAACGTATGTATGTATATACGACTTTTGCTAAAAATACGATGCAAAAAAGTCGGTGAGGATCAATTGGAAGAAGACCGGAAACTCGTAATTATAACTGGAACGAAAACTCGAGAGAGACCGTTATTAGAAAATAAGTGTCGTGTATATATATATGTATGTTTACGATCGAACGCATTGAGGAAATAATTGAAAAATATATATGTCAACGATGGATTTGTACGTCTATTCTATTTGCATACCCTAATGCTCTTTACAAAATACTTTATAGTCTATTCTTGTAAGCAGTAATGGATCGCCGAAACGCGTCGTCCTTCCAACATAATACAATGCTCTCGATATTTTTCCCTTCTCTCTTTTTTTTTCTTTCCCTCATCCCTCGTAACAACGCATCACGCTTCCTAACTATATCTTCGTACGTTATATTTTCTTTTGCATTTTGTTTCGCTCATCTCACGCGATTTTACATCGAAACGTGAACATATTCAATCATTATTGCGCGTAATGTTTCAAGAATACAAAAGAGTTGATTTATTAAGAAAAAGAAAGAAAAAAAAAAAAAAAAAGAAACGAAAGAATGGACGTCGACGACAGATTGAATATTAATACCTGTGGCAAGGAAGTATCGGCGAAATAGAGATTTCGAGGAAAAGAATGGCACACTGAATAACGAGGAAGAAATGGTTGAAAAGAACATGTCAGACAATTCAAACAAATGTCATTTTTGTTTGAAACGATCACAGTCCGCGGTGGATAATTCATTTTCACAATGCGGATAAATAAGACATAAAAAAAAAAAAAAAAAAAAAAAAAAAAAAAATTAAAAAACTCTATAGTAGGAGAAAGATGCAGTTTTTTTTTTTTTTTTGTATCTGAATGAAAATTTTAAAAAAAAAAAAAAATAAAAGATTACAAAACTAACGTTCTGTTTTTTTTTTAACGACGATTACTTGGATATTTACTATAATATATGTACGTATAAAAATTATAATAATAATAATAAACAAAGAAAATCAAAAGTACATGGAGTCTAACGAAAAACGTTCACTAACACGTATCAGTATTCAACGAAAGTTAAAGAGATTTAACGAAAAAAATATGTATAAAAAAAACAATGTAAAAAAAAAACGATATAAAAAACGATGTAAACTCCTAAAAAAAACTTACGTATATAAAAAAAAAATGTGGGATTTAGCACAATTCTCGATGAAATAGATGTGTATAAATATATGTACGCAATTATATATAAATGTATAGATACAAGCGAAAATTTGGAACTATATAATGTAAAATATAAAATACTGTCAACTTTGTATATATACGAAATGAATTTATAAAAACAAAAGCGAGAAATAATCTTTTTTTTTCCGTTTTTTACTGACTAAAGTATTGCCACATGTTTTTTTTAACTACCGTTTTGTAATGCTTCGCTAAAACATTAAATAACTCGGTACTCTAACAAATGAAAAATTTTCGTTCAGAAAAGTTAAAAACGTATTTGACTCTTTTTAGATCAAGATATAAGTAACATAAAATATTACTGTATCGATATGATAAAAAGAAACATGCTTTTTAGGAATTGAAAGACATTACATATTAATCGGTGGGATGACTCGTTTGCATCCTTATATACATGTCTCCATTCGCACAAATTCTATATTCTTGTAAATTGCGCTCAACAATTTCTAGGTTGAATGACTGAAAATAAATTTATAAATTAGATCGAATTATTTGGAAAAGAGTGATATCTCTCTTTTTCTCTTGACAATAAGCTTAGCTTGATAATAAGTAGCTTCTTTGTGTTTTATACCAAGCCTTCATAAAAATATGTTTTGTTTCTCATACATACAGTAGTATGGCAAGACTCTTATATCAAGTTCTAATCTAACGCTCCTAGAGAAAATTATAGTTTCCCTTTCCTGTGTGCATGGAAACGCTCTCTATGTCTTTCTCTACTTTTTTTTTTCCTTTTTGATCATGTACATACACATATGGCACACTTTTTAGAGACAAGATCTATGGGTAGACATCTCAAAAACAATACCCAAAAACATACAGGTAATAAAAACTGTGCATACTGTTGAAAAATTTACGCAACTGTCACAGCTTTTGCACTATTGTACTAGGACATAGAGAGTCAGCAGAATCACGAATAATCGTTCATTATTGTAGAAAACTCACTAGCAAAGCCAAAATCAAGAAAAGCGGTCGAATCAACTCTCACTGGCTAAGAGTACTCGTACAATTTGTCAGTTTTGTTACCTCTTAATTGAGGTCTTCCCCTGCTCTCAGAAATCTTTAACGTGTCCCAAAAAACTGAGGTCATGCGTTTGATAGTGGCTGGACGTAGCAAGTGGCGTGACACTCGATTGATGCGCCACATTAACGGCCGACAAATGATGATGATGCAACGAATGATGAGAAGTATGTGAGTGAAGAATATTATTTGGATGGGGAACTTGGAAGTTCCCTGGTGGCGGGGCTCAGGACAGGAGAGGTCCTGGATGTCCACCAGAAAGAACAGATGATGCTGTAACAGCCGTTGTCTGCATATTCGAAACATTATTTTGTTGCTGATTTTGCTGTGTACCTAGAAACAGAAGGATTTCATTACGTTAACAGAAATATCTTACGTTTGTTTGCTGTTACACAGATAAAATGAAATATCCTTACTAGCATTTTGACTGAGCTCGGCTTTCACCCTTCTTGCAATGTGACTTCTGGTGTGCTTTCTTAAATGATCTTTACGATAAAATCCTTTTCCACACTCTGTGCATACATGTCGCTTCTCGCCAGAATGTATAACAAAATGTAACGTTAACTGCTCTTTTCTTTTGAAAGCTTTCAAACAAACAGTACAAACGTACGGACGTTCAGGGTTGTGACTCTGTTTGTGACGTGTAAGGTGATCCTTTCTTTTCAGGCCTGCTCCACAAATGTCGCACACGAATCTTCGTTCCAAAGTATGTCCAAGAAGATGTTGTTCCAATAATTCACGTTCTGGGTATGCCATATGACATTCTGGACAGCAATATAACGTAGAGCCGTCTAAAGCTGTTGTTAGGCGAATTTCACCAGGTTTCGGACGTGGCTTTTTCTCCTTAGGAGCCTTCTTCTTTTTCTTCTTCTTATTGTTTGGAGACATCATTATATTAGGCGTTGTTGTAGTTGCTACAGCTACCGAAGTGGTCTGTGCCATCTCCGATTCTTTTTTAATACTTTCTGCAGAATATTTTAAGAAATGATGTAAACTTAATGGTAAAGTACTAGCTGGTAAATGACTGAGGTAATCTGCCACTGTGGATCCAGGAGTAGCCAAAGATTGCCACGTAGCAGGCATAGTTGCAGGAGTTTGAGTATGAGCATGCTGCTGATGGTGTTGATGCATCGTGTAATCTTGCTGGCTACCATTTGTTGTTGTTTCTCCATTGCGCTGTTGCTCGTCCGCTTTCTTTTCCTTATTTTTATCTTTATCCTGTAGGAGATTGCAAACATCTTGTTGATTTATAGTTTCGGTCGCTTGCTGAAAAGTTTTAATTTTCTATGAAATACTTCTACAGTATTCTTACGCTTTTAGAGTTTAGCATTGAAAGGCAAAGCAGCTGACCTGGTGATAAGAACGCTTCTCTGGCATTCCAGGCGAATTAGAGGGTCGTTGTTGGACTGGTTGAGCTTGGGAATATGGCACATTCGGATAATGATGAACATTGCTGTTGGGATAACTTGTCTTATTGTTCATCATCACTTGTGACTGAGCAGATTGCACGCCGTTGCTTTCAGGACGGTACTTTCCCATAACCGGCACTCCAATTGGAGGCTGGTTGGGAAAATGATTGGCGTAACGTCCGCCCGCACCGCCGGAGCCGTCGGTTGCGAACTGATGAATACTCGGAATAGTACCGGGAAAATGGCTTCCGAACGGCGGGAAATTCATTGCAAACCGTCAATCAAATACCTGGAAAATCATTAAAATGTTAGAATCGATACGATCACGCTTATCAACACTTACACATACTACAAGTTACAGAGCGATTTCGCAGAAGGAAAGATGTTTCGGTCAACCAACATCTTTCCAAAATTCACGAGCACGACGCGTTGTCGCCGCCGACACGCGAATGAACGTTGAGCGGATCGTCGATATCAGCCAGTGACATGTGGCCATGAAACACGTTAGACAACCGCTTAGACAAAGATTATGCCGTTGTCCGAGGGGAATTGTCGAAGAGAAACGCGGAAAGTAAGTTGTCGGTAACATCCGCGGTAACAACGGACGAACATGTCTTGCGGATACATGACACACCGCCGACAAAGATATCTGGCGCGTCTTGCTCAAACGACGCCCGTGTATTTACTCACAGCGACGTCCCTCTCCCCATGTTTCCTCGCCGTGGAATCGAATCCTTTCTTCGGAGGGGGGTCTCCGAGAGGTGAGAGTGAGCGTAGGGGCAGATTTTTACAACGAGAGACACAAGAAGAGCAAGAACACAGCACGCCACCGCCGCCGCCGCCGCCGCTGCGTCAGCCGTCTGTCACGAGGAGATACACACGGGGAAACAGTCGCCGTTTCCCTTCTTAAACCGCACGATTGTTACACAAAACAGACGTAAACCTTCGCGATGTAATATGCCAGTGAACGCGCCGCACCGCGTTCATGTAACAAGGATTACGAACGGTATACACTGATTATAGAAAAGGGTAGAAGACCGAAAAAAGACGTTAAAAAACGAATATTGTAAGCGGCCGAGGATCGTCGCGATGCGGGGGAAGGGTGGCTGTAGAGGGACGGCGGCGCGGAGAACGGGAATCAGAGGACGAGAAGAATGAAGGAGAACGGGGGAGGACGCAGGGGGGATGATCTGGTGGCAGAAGGATGGGTAGTATGCGCGCAGTGGGATGGAGCGTGAGGGGAGAGACCCCGAGACTTTCCCCTCCCGGCACCTCTAGTCGATACGCGGGGGCCGAATTCGCACGAAATTCAGCAGAAAATGGCCGTACTGAATACGGAACATCACGAACGTTAAGCCAACGCAATTCGAAAAATCTAGTAGAAAATCCACCTTACCATTTAGTGATTAGCTTGCGCTCGCCTGGTTAAGAATTTTCACGAAAAGCCGAGAATCTTCGTAAAAAGATCCCCCCGCTCTATGTGTGTGCTGTTGACACCTGTCCCTCAAGTCGGTGCCCCCACCCCATCCGTCCGCCCTCTACTGTGCCAGCCTCTTAACTATTTTTTCTCTCTACCGGCCCTCCTCGCAACCGCGCCGGCGAAAATGCCCGAATCCATCGGGGTTTTAACTTCGAATTGCTCCCGGCGACCTGCCATTATTTCCTCTCTCTCTCTCTCCCTCCCCATGTACGGGAGTAGGAACAAGTCCGAGATATGCTCACGAACGTCGAGGAATACCACCAATCAGAAAGGGAAAGGTACAGAGTGAAATTTAACATCCTATTGTTGATATAATAATTATAAAAATATTAATTTAATTATTAGTTTCTAAATGGATGAATCATTACAGAGTGTAAAATCGAATTTAAAGTAAAAGTTTTTAATTAATATACATAAAAATTGTTATAATAATTTTGAAATTGTTATAATAATTGTTAGAATAAGTTTGTTAAAATTAATGAAAATAAAAATTTATATATATATATATATATTGTAACGTTTAGAAAATATAGGATCCTTACACCTATTAATAGAATGAATATCAATATAAATATACAAATGATAGATTTAAAAGATTAATCAATTCCCCTGTACAGATTAGTGGTTAATAGTTTATTTAAAATGCATCAATATATATTCTAAATATTAACATTTCATGATCAATATTTGAGAAATTAAAACTATGTGAATCAATAGCATAAAAACATTCTATAATTGGTTAATCAATAAAAATTTGTTTATATTAAATGTATGTTTTATTTTAGCTATTTTCTCCAATATTTATGTAAGTAACAATGAAAATGACTTATAGACTATTCATACTAATTACGATAATAGCTATAATAGCATGATAATAAAATAATAATTATATTTCTCGTACAGCTATACCCACTGCCTTTGATAATGATACAATAAAAAGTATTTTTTTTTTTATACATACATTCTTTTCTCAAATGACTTTATGTGTACCATGATTGATTAATAAATCAAATGATCCATTTTCAACAACTATTTGCTTTTGTCGTGCATTTTATGATAATACAAAAATTTCTTCTCAAATATACGTTTAACACAAAGAAGAGACTTACAAAAAAATCTTCTCACAGAAATTATCAGTTTAGTAAGTAAAACAAGTTAAATACTATACAAAATAAATTATACTAAGTTATTCAAGAATTTCTACATGCATTAGTATTTGCTGTAGAATTCCCTCAAATTTAAATACATGGACTTAAGGGCCACTCGTATTTCATTAACCTTAACTTTGCAATATAATAAACTAATCCAGAAATAACAGATGTATTTATACCGAATTAGTTATTTTTAAACATTTGCAATAATAAATTTATTTCTCTTAGACAATTTATATTGATAAAGTCAAAAATATACTCCTTTTCATAGAAGTAAACGATAGCTAATCGATACATAGATACAAATATAAAACTTTACATTTATCTAGCAAGAAGTTTTTTAAAATATTACTTTAAAATTTAATGATTCTTATAATACACTCTTCTTGTGTGTTGATCACTGTAAAGAACAAGTGGAATAAATAAACGAACTCACTTTATATTTTTATGACAATTTTTCCTCATCTTGTGCACGATAAATTGGTTGTATTTACAGCCCTGTTTTGTGTATTATTATCGTTCCCTTTCACATTACGTATTTTTTTCCTCTTATATTTATTATAAAAAAAAAATTAACTTCAGCCGAAACCACAATTGCCTTCTGTATGACGAATCCAGTTCGCGCTTTCAAAAATATATTTTTATATTTATATATATATATATATTTATACACATATATAAATATGTATATGCATATATAAACTTTTTTATTTAATTCTAACTCGCGTCATGGAACTGGATCAGCGACAAAAACATTTTGAATTAAACGAGCAAATTAACTCGCTTTCCATCATTCTTTTTTCTTTTTTTATTGTTTTCCGTTTTTTTACACGTACGCTATAACGTGTACGCAAAAATGAAAATTTATACGTATGAACTTTGTTCGTTTCAGTGCGAACTTCGTTCGTTAATTAACTTAGTGCGTTTTGCAGTGTAATTATTAATCATACATTAATCTGGCCTACGACTTCTTTAAGAAGCTGATGGTGTACAAATTTTAAAATGCGACGGCTCATCAGTAAAAGTATCTTTATTTAAAGATACAGAAAATGTCTCAATTTTGCAATACCGCTACTAGGCAACGATAACCATCAACGAATTTTTTTACACGATACCAATTGAACTATGAGATTATAGAATTCAATCGGCAAGAACACCTTGTCTTGCACGACCTCTAGCTTGTTGATGATTAAATCGGAAGAACCGCCCGGGTTGATTCGGGGCGGTATGCTGCTGCTAATGCTGCTGCTGCGGCTGCTGTTGCTGTTGTTGTTGCTGCTGCTGCTGCTGCTGTTGTTGTTGTTGTTGCTGCTGCTGTTGCTGCTGCTGCTGCTGTTGCTGTTGCTGTTGCTGTTGCTGCTGCTGCTGCTGCTGTTGATGATGGAGCATAGCCATTGCACCCGTCTCCGCAGCAGTTGGAAGAACAACTGTAGACTGTTCACTGACAGCTATTTGATGAATCTGTGCCTGAGATCCTTGACCTACTTGTATTTGAATCTGTTGCAATTCGGACACTGATGACTGTTGTTGCAATTGATCTGCTTGCTGCTGCAGTTGTTCCGCCTGTTGTTGTTGTTGATCCGTTTGCTGTTGCGAATTTTGGGCAGTATCAGCAATGTTCGAAGGATCTTCTTTGATACGTTTTGCCAAATGAGACCTAGCATGTTTTCTCAAGTGATCCTTGCGATAAAATGCTTTACCGCATTCGGTACAGACCTCAGTTTTCTGTCCAGAATGTATAACAAAATGAAGATTCAAGTGCTCTTTTCGTTTGAAACCTTTCATGCAAACTGAACAAATAAAAGGTCTATCTGGATTGTGGCCCAATTTGTGTCGTTCTAAATGTTCTTTACGTTTCAAACCTGCGCCGCAAATGTCACAAATAAACCTTCTTTCTATTTTGTGTCCAATAAGATGTTGTTCCAGAAGTTCCTTTTCAGGATAAGCCATATTACATTGAGGACAACAGAATAATGTTGTGCCATCGAGAGCAGTAACTATGCTTACTTGGCCTGGTTTCGGTTTTTTGGGCTTTGGAGGCTTTTTCTTATATTTCTTTTTTCTTTTAGGTTTCGTACCAGATTCCTGTTCTTCAACAACATCAGGGATAATAGCAGTTTCTCCACTTGCCACAGTAATTTGTACCGCTTGTTCACCAGATGCGGTGCTTCCAGATGCGTCTAAACCATCAGCTCCTAAAGGACTTGATTCGATAGTGGCTTCTCTCTTTATCGTTTCTGCCGAAAATTTCAAAAAGTGCTGTAAACTAAGAGGCAAGGTACTAGCAGGCAGTCTAGAGAGATAATCGGCAACAGTTGACCCCGGCGTTGCCAAACTTTGCCAACTGGCAGGCATAGACGTAATATATTCCTCTCCACTTTGATTTCCTTGATTCTTAATGTTACCTCTCTTAATGAGAGCGACCGGTGTCGTACCTTCCTTCACGTCTTCTTTCGACTCTTCCATACCTTCGCGTAAAATTAAATCCTGTGGAATCTGCGCGACGACAGTTAATCCTTCCGGTGCCCCTGGTAGCTGCACTGTTTGTTGAATAGTTTGCTGAGATGTAGTGGTGACTGCTGTGGATGTACTCTGAGTTGTCTGATCAGATCTAAAATAAGAACAACACTTTAGAACGTGAACAATTAACTAAATTTAATAAACTATAATGTATAAACGTATGATTTATTAAGATGAGAAATATGATGTTATCCTACATTATTAACAGTTAAAGTTAAAGAGAGTGTCTAACAACAAGTGGAACGATGATTCTTACGTTTGCGTCGTAGCCACGGTGTTCTGTGGTTGAACTTGAATTTGTACTCCATCTGCGCCTTGCTGACTATATGCAACGGTAAGCACTGTTGCTGCCCCTTGGGGAAACTGTCCCAAGGATATTGGAGCCAAATGATACTTGGGTTGATCACCGCTGTTCCCGCTTTGCGATACGCTGGGATTAACCACCTGGATCTGGACGGTTTGCTGTTGTTGTGTTCCATCTTTTCCAGGTACAGTGATTGGCAGCGTGATAATTTGCTGCTGCTGATTGTTACCCCCTTGTGCCACTGCGAACCCGTTCGGATCAACCGGCCTCAGATAATGAACGCCACCTTCGCCACCGGATAAAACGCCAACCACTTGACCACCGGTGGGTAGATTTTGCGCGAATTTAGCAGTTGCAAACTGATGCACAGTGCCCGTCGGTAGCGAGCCTGTTGTAAAGCCGGGGAACGGAGTGAAATTCATTTTTCACGATAATTAAATCTGAAAGTTGAACAGAGTACAATTAGTATTGGTATGTATATATATATATATTCGTGTATATGTATATATATATATATATATATATATATATATATATATATATATATATATAAAATTCGTATATATGTGCGTAATCGATGGATCGTTATTAATTTTGTTTAGCAACATAGGGAAAGTTCAAAACGGACTACAATATTTTTTCACCTATCAACTGATTCTCACGCTGAATAAATTAAACAGAATGTAAATAAAACTTGTCGAAACCGAATGCCGTTACTATTACTTATCACATTTTACAAGTATAAATAAAATTATATTCGTTCGTTATAAAAATCTTATACAACTGGGAAATATATGTGTTTTCTTTTTTCTTAAACTGTATTTTCTTTAAACGAAACGTATTTGCGTGACACGAAAGAGACAAATAGGATATCGGACACTTGATAACGGATACGCATTTACATACAATATTACACAACTACACTCACTTGACGCAGTATAAGTATTGCTGTCGAAGTGCACCGACCTTCGATACTTGAAACTGTTTCAAAAGATATTCCGTGTTTTCATAGAATTCAACAGATATTCTCTAATCCCGTAACGTTCCTTCTGTAGACACGTTCCGAAGTAAAGTAAATACATCGTGTCTCGTATACGAGCGTGCTTGCTAAATACGAGAAACAAATTGCAAATCAATAAACCAGCCGGTAAAACCCAATTAATGTGAACATCATTGTCGGAAATATCGAATCTAGAGATATTGTATTTATTTCTCATTTAATCCTATTCATTTTATTCATTGTCGATACTATTAACTTTGTTGTATTCCATTTTCTATATACTTCGCTTCCTGTACTCGATATTAGCTACAGGTGGTTGAAGAACTTGTACACGACTGCTGTTAAAAAGTGCTACATGCGTTTCTCCGATAGAACAACGACTAGCAAAAAAGAGTCACGTGTGTGAGATGTGTGTGTGTGTGTTTCTCTATTCATTCATACCCGTTCGTTCGTATCGTATATATTTGTAATAAATACGAATCCAAGATCAAGGTTGAGTAGAGTGGCATGCACACATCGGACGGAGGTGAAATGGTGATTTATTTGTTTTAAAGGTATACGGCGATTAGCAGTTTGAATGGGGGCTCTCACCCTACCGCCACCGCTACACACACACCCTTGTTCTGCCCGTGTTTGTAACACGGGTGGCATTTGGTAACAGCAGCCACGCAAGCAAGCAGCATTTAGTCACGAAAGTGGTGAGAAGTTGAAACGTCAAGAGTGTTCCGCGCCACCTCCCACTGTCAAAGTCTTAACTTCAAACCTCTTGACCATGTGTTAGTATGTGGGGGTGGGGTGAGAGATCCCCCACTTCACCCCCTTCCCCACCTCAAAGGGATCCGGGAGCAGGGAGGATAGTCGTCGAAGTGGCCCAGGATTGCACCCCACTCCACCATGACGGTGCCCCCACGGGGGTAGGGGGTAGGAGCACTCGACAAGGGTAGGGGGGAACCCATAGGTGGGAAAACGGGAACCCACCGCGAAATAGAGCCCGAGACTCACTCTCTTTCTCACACTGATACACGGAATATCGCGAGAATAGGACGGGAAGGAACGGATAGACCGGTGTGTAGGTGCGTAAGCGTGTGCCGCAAGTTCGAAAGGGTAGGGGTATGTCAAGAAAGAAGGGAGACGATCCTCGACATACCGGGAACTCCCCGGGGAGGGGAACGCGAAATATCGGGAGAGAACATACGAAGCAGACATCGCGGCAGACGAAGTGGGACACACCGATGACTCTCGCCCTTGATCCACCCGTTGGTAGGGAAGGAGTAGAAAACGGGCGGTGAGGGAGAGAAAGAGAGAGAGAGAAAGAGAGAGAGAAGAGGTTAGGTTACCCGTGCACCTCTCCTCCTTTCGACGTACCGAGGAGGGTGCCGTGTCGAATGGATGATTATTCCGTGCCAGCAAGTCGTTGCGGGTGGTTGCACGGCTTAGTAGAGAAACAAAAAAAAAAAAAAAAAAAAAAAGAAAAAGAAACTACCGTAACGTGAACACGCATAAACGGGACGCAACGCGGGATGCGTTTTTCGACTTTCGCGGAATGGCGTGTGCGACTGACCGGTCAGCCTCGCCGACGTACCGTTGTTGGACGCTTTTGCAAGACGCGCATGTCGTAATGGCGCCGATTCTCTTAAGGTTCAACATATCTCTCTCGCACTGTATCGCCGTCTCTCTCGCTTCGTACACGTATCGAAGAGAGCATGTCTGAGCATTCGTGGTTTCTAGAGGAATTCTAGTGTCTCGCATGATATATCGGGGGCAGCGTACGTAGAATGGAACGGCTCTGGGCCATTGGGTAATCAGATATGCTTTTTACTCTAGCATCTAGAACAAAGGAAAATGCGCGTGTATCTGCAACGCAGGTAAAAACAAGGTTGGGTAAAACTTACAATGGAAAGAGGCTATATATACAGTACGTTACAGAGGATATTCTGTACCTAATGGACGAAGTTAAGGCAAACCTTGGCCATTGTGTAAATATTGCAAGCAAACGCGCCGCATACAGACGACGGCGCCACGGCTGTTAGGTAAACGGATGGACAAGGTTATACCACGTCAGCAGATTCGGCGATACATCGGCCATGATGGAATTGAGTACACGGTGACGCGAGAAAATAGCACGGGTCCGCGAAGCCCGATGCTTTGTTCTCTCGATGGTTATTCCCTCTCTTCTCCCTTTCGCCCTGTGCCTCTCCCTCCCTTCGGTGCTCTTTCGATCGCGCATCGGGAGACGTTACGTGGAGAGGAAGTAGGAAAAAGATCGGGCGAGTTGGCAGAGGCGAGAGCAGGGCAGAGGCGAAACGGAGGACAGAGTAGAGCCAACAGAGGCACAGGCAGGGCTGTTGTTTACACCCCCACCTCGACGGGTTAGAGGCAGCGAGATGCCACGGAGGGGCCTCCGAGACCTCGGTGGGCACCCACCACCACGCAATTTCCAACCCCACCAGCCTCTCAACCACTGTCCGCACCTCCAACCACCCCACCAAAGCCAGCTCGAGCCAAGCCGTGAGCCACGACGAGGGCCCCGCGACGATTTTAGTGTCTTGGGGTGGGTGCTCTGTGGCCACCGTTTCGCGGTTTCTCGTGCACGTTTCGCATTAGGAGTAAAGCGCGTAAAGGTTTCGTGGGGTGGCATCCGTCCGCAGATTCCTACAACTTCTATCCTGTAGTATACGGGGGACACGCGTATATATAACAGGTGCACGCGAGTTACCCGGGTACAACGAGACGATCGTCATCCACGAGGAAAATGCGTGTCCTACTTACCCACGAGCAGCTGTGCTTCTTCTGTGTGCACTCCTTTCAGTGTACTGCTACTACTGTCGCTGCGTCGAAGCCTCGCGTAGTACAGAGACCGTCCGCCTGGCTGGCTCGCCTGCGTCGTTCTCAATCTTCACCGCGGCAGCAGCAACTTTCTCATTTCTACGTATACGTTTGCCGCCGTGCCACCGCCGCACTCGGCTAGCCACAGCTACTTTTGCTTGCGGGTGCACACGTCATACGACGAAGAGTCGTACGCCAAAATGTACGTGCACGTCTCTTCGTCGAGATGATCGACGAGTCGTGACTCGTGACAAATTCGCGCACTACTGGGCAATTCTGCTACGGTAACGGCAAGCCACGACGCGCACTCATTTCCGGGTTTACGACAGTCGAGTTCGATCGAGTATGGCCCCCGGTCGGTAGGTAAGCGTGGGTCTTGGGCCGGCCAACGGGGAATGAATTCGACCTAACGGTACATAGCCATCCGACAGTGGCCACACGTTAACTCGAAGCGCCACGATGCCAGGCCACTCTCCTGAAAACCACGAGCTGTGTGTGAAAGTAGACACCCTCCTTCTTCCTACGAGTCCCAGCTTTATCTTGAATGACCTCGTCTCACCGCCCTCGTTGAACGCATTCTTGTTTCCCTCGGTCAAGTAAATAAAAATACGTTTAACCGCGAAAACTTACGCTGCTATTAATATTCTATCGGAGAAATATCAACTATGGCGGCGGTTACGCGCGGAGTATATTGTGAGAGCAAGGGGAAAGCGGCGCGTGCGCGCTTCTAGATTAAACAAATCAACGGTTCTCTTATGGTGCCGTTCTATTTACAGGTATTACAATGATCTTTACAGTTTTACAACAATCCCGAACTTTCCAAAGGAAAATTTAAAACAGCGCAAAAAAACACCTGTCCGTTGCTCTGTCTTACTCTCAGTTACTTCGTTTTCTCTGCCACTACAAAGCGACACTAACTCTGCGCACCTAGCGGAGACTGAAGTGAGGTTAGGTCGAGAATCGATATTACGAAGATGCTTCGATGGTCGCCATATTTCCATGTTGCAGCGCGGGCTATATGAATCGCATAACACAACTTCGATCCCTTGATCCTTCGTTGTGAATAGATAAACAAATAAATATATATATATATATATATATATACTTGTAATACTATATAGGTACAATAAAAATAAGTAAAAAGCCTTGGTGTTCGTTCCTTCTTTTTATAGACTTTTTTTTATTATAAATATGCTATTTCACATACTTTCACAGTCTCAAAATACTTTGCCATCTAATAAATGTCCATAACAAAAATATGGTTGATCAACGACACGTCACTCATATAGAAACAGCAATTTAATGTAATATTGTAGTCATCTATGTTATAACAATAATAAAATACAGATCATTCAAATCCTAAACTCATTAATTATAATGGCGCAAATTTCAATTCTGCATCTTTTTAATTATAAATAAGCTATCATTGGACAAAAAAATTTTAAATAATATTCACTTTTACTTTTGTATATACAATTACACATGCAATAAATTACCAATTAAAATAACATTTTAGTAATAAATAATCGATTGTTGTTTAAAATTTATCAAACATATGTTTCCAGATTTTCGTTCATTCATCAATTAATAAAAATATATTGAAAAGGAATGAAAAAAATGATATGCAAAAAATGCTTAATGATTGGGAATTATAATTTGAAAATAGAAATATCAAAATGAATCAGATGTTCTCTGAACGCGTTCCATATATAAAGAGAATAGGAGCTTATTACTTTCATAATAAAATGGATTTTCAACTGCGTCCAAGTCAGGCTTATATTCCGCTATGTAACTACTTTGGCTAGAACTACATCCGTCGTACAATGGTGATCCTTGGGAAAGCTCCGAGTAATTTGGTGATGGCATGAAGTTTCTGTTGCAGCAATCTGTATCCATATTTTCGGTAACATTTTCATGTATCCCTGATAAGCCGTTAATATGAAGATTATTTATTCTTTTGCTCAATGGCATAAATTCGCTAGATTCCTCTTCTGTATCACGTCCTCTTTTTCTAAACATTACAAACAAGGATGAATTAGCATAATGAGATCCAACTATTTATACACGGTAAATAAAAGAGTTGTGTCATTACACATATACATGAATAGAGAAACTAACCTGTTAGACCGAGTCATTCTTGAGTTAATCCAAACTTTTTGCAGAAGATTTTAATATAAATATATTCTTAACCACTGCATATTACGATATTTCTTAACTTTTCTTTGCTGAAGCAATGAATGTTATACACTGTTACAGCTTGCGTATAAGTTATATACGTTTGTCAAAAAAACAAAGCTTGATAGGTTGACTACACAAATCGACGGTGTACAATGCACAGCAATGTTCCCGTTACATTGTAGTTTAACCTCCAGCCGTTAGAGTGCACAAGTGACATGGTTTTAAGCAAATGTTTTAAACATAGAAACAGAAAGTTTTAGATTATAGAAATACGCTAACCAGATGTTTAAGAAAATATTGTAATTATAAATTTAAATTATAAATTTTGTTTGAATTGAGCGAAACTTCTAATGTACAATGTGCTTATCTCTATGAAAAATGTTATATAAATTATTTAAATTCTAGGTAGAAACAAAAAATTCTAGATTGCGGAAATACATGAACCAGATATTTGAAAAAATGTTACACATTAAGGTAATTATAAATTTTGTTAAAATTATAATGTACAACACGCTCATCTCTATGAAAAATGTTATATAAACTCTAACAGCAAGAAACGAATCACTTGGTTTATATTTTGAACAACTATTTTGATAAAGATGTTATTTCTTTGTTTAGAATACATTAATTAATCATGTTAAAGAATGAGTGATAAGAAAAGAAACTTGTAGTGAAAGATTGAGGTATTTTTCTTTTTTCTTTTCTTTTATTGAATAAATCAGAATATCTCATATTCAAAATATATATACGTAGTTGTGATTCATTTCTACTAGTACATCTAATAATTTCTTAGTATATTACGTCTATTACCTACAATTTCTAATTGCTCCTGTTAGCATTTCGTGAGTCACGATATAATCATTGATCATTCAGTTACCGACCGGAAGCAGAGCATGTATCAATGCACATGAGAAAACAATGTAAAGTATTCTTATTAAAAATAACTACATGACAATAACATATCATTCCCTATATATCATTCGTCCAAATTTTTACTAGCTACTAGTAAAAATTTTACTAGTTACTGTGTATAGTATATGTACGTTCTTGCAACGAATCGACTACAATTAATTGCTAGCAAATATCACGTTTCTATAATAAGCTGCATTAGTTAGGCTAATTTTCACCCATATCTTTAGCTAATTGCTGAAACCAGACATATCCTAGATCCTTAAAACAGACACTCATTGTCAGTGAATATTTCAAACTTAAACTATTCTTTCTTCATGACAAAGCTAATTTCATACATATCGATACATGAGTACATATATATATACGTACACGTGCTATTTGTTTTAACATTTTAACCTCTTAAATTTTTAATTCATTTGCTTACGACAACTTGAGTAAATAACATCGTGCAGTAGATGATGATTTTTTTACTCATCATATAAGATCTTTTATAATCATTTCTTTAATCATTCTTGTTATTGAAACATTTGGATTTGAACTTAAGTTTAAACTTAACATCGTACTTTAAATATTTAAAAAAGTATTTGTTATATGTTTATGGTATCTATTTGGACACCGTAAAATGTCTTTAACAAACAAAAAAAAAAAAAAATTCGGATTTGTACAAGAAAATTGAACTCAATCGAATTATACAAGAAAATGTAATGTCTGAGGAATGTCGAATACTTTTTATCAATTTCATATCTGATATCGAATTTTTCAAATATTTTTTTTGATAATCCATATATCGATATAAGACATTTATTTAAACAATGTCTTATTTCAAAATTCTGATATCATGTATATGCAGTACGATGTTGAACACGACTTTGCAATATCCAGAAATAGAACAAAAACAGAAGTAACACTATTTACATATCATTTCACACTACATTCAAAATATATAATGGATTATATGTTGAGTTGCAGTTATCGAATAAATTTTGTCCTAGACTCTCCTCCTAATTAACATGAAAGCAAGAACAGATTAAGGGTATACAAAAATATTGTTCTTAAGAAATAATCTTTGTAAAACCGCAGTCCGTGAAACATCAGGAAGAATCAGGTACGTGTACTCGTGATCGCTTGTTTAGAAACTTGTATGATCGCATTGAGACCGTTTATAGTAAAAGATTTCAAGCGCCACATAAACCATCCGTATTTGGTGTGTTTTAACATCAAAGTTTCGCTTACTAAGTACGTGGGTGTGAACGCACCCTCGTTACTTATACTTTACATACCGAATGAATCGCTCTAATTACACCGTGATGATACGCATGTTGATGAGTATAATTAATTTCAGAAGATCTCCCGAGAAAGAGAGTGGCGGATGACTCGCCGTTATTATTGGGAAGTCGGAAACATACATTTGTCGTCTGGGAAACGTTTATCTCATAGGATACTGGCATCCGTAGGATAATGAAGAATTTTACCACAGGAAAGGGAAACGTCTTTTTGCTGACGTTCTGTCTTTTTATCTCCATTTTATTATCTATCTTTTAATTTCAATTTTGAAAAAATGTTCTATTGAAATTAAGTTCGTTGAGTTGACAAAAGAAGTAATCAAGTTTTCGAGCTAAGAATTAAATTAAATTTTCTAAAAATATTTTCAGTCGCTGATCTTCGACTTGAGTCACAATGGGATTGGAAGTTTGTCTTTCACGTGGTTGACAGTAGCTGATTGTTACAAATTTTTATGGAAATTCATATTTATATGAATATAATAAAAAACATGGAACTATAATTATTTTACTTAATAAAGTAGTGAGTATTATATTTGAGGTTTATATTTTAGGTATTTTTTGCTTGTTAAATGCCTTCTACATTTTGCTTATTAAGTGTTCTCTGTATTCTGCTTATTAGATGCTTTATGTATTTTTGCTTATTAGGTGCTTTTGCAACTTTCAAATTTTGCAGTCTACTTATTACTAATAATCTACTTATTACTAATGATCTTAATTATCTTAAGAGCACATTGATTAAAATTGAAACTACAGTAACATTTACGATTTTAGGAACAAAACTGTCATTTTATGCCGAAACGATTTACAAAATTTCATGTGTCGAAATACTTTCTAAAAGAGGACGTACAGCCGATACATGCTGATATATATATATATATATATATATATATATATATATATATATATATATACGATTAATCGTTCGGACGTATGTACATACGTGATTTCTGGTAAACCGTTATTTTACAGTTTTACAGTTTTATAATTGTAACAGTTTTATAATTGGACACGTTAAAACGTTTAATTTTAACATTAATGTATTCTCGTGTCTCCTCTACGTGTACGTTTGATGCGTCTGCAAAAAAGACATCCAACACCTACGAGACGCATACATTGAGCTGTGTTAAATACGTATACGCGGTGGCCTTGATTCTTAAAGCCGTGAAAAGATCCCGTCGTCGGGTCAATTAAACCAAGCCACGAAGTCATTGACTTTGGGTGCACAGCCAATTTCTCTTCAACAGTCTGTAATATAGCGCATCCGAAAAACCTTCGCGTCAAGTATAAACCTTGAGCAATCTTGTGCTCGTCGAATATACATATACACGATCGGTTATTTTCGATTCTTCTCGAATACTGATTACTCAAATTCAAAATTTATACGATAACAACACGCTTTAATAAAACTTTGATGATGCACGACGCTTTTATTAATCCATTAACTCGCGTATTGATTTTCCGATGAATACGTACTATATTTACTGAACGATGAACCGGGTTGATCGAGCAAATAAAAATCTTTCCATTTTTCTGCTAATTAAAAGATCCTCCTATACTGTACAATTTTTATACTGTATTTAGTAAAACATTCAAAACGAGTCGACTTGTATTTTATATATCGCTGCGACTGCGCTCGTAATTTAATCGCGTTTTGTTGCAGGAAGAGGGATTACAAAGACACGAAGCTGAAAACGAATTCCATTTATGGTCATTCTCATGCACGAGTGAAAACGATTATTCAGCCGGTGAGTAAGATTTCAGATTATTTGATATGTTCATTATTCGTCAAAGCTACACGTCGATCAGATACGACGGGAAATTGAGCCACTCCCTTAACGAAGGAGCAACACCCAGTCTCGTATACGATTCCCAGGATTTCGACGATAACAAAATCTCTTACTATACCATTGTCATTTCTCTTTTTCAACCTCGGTCTCAAATTCACGTTACTTATACGTTACTTATTATATTTAAAATAATCCAATTAAAGTGCAAAAAATATTAAAACAAACTCCCTCAACTGTCAGTTAAATCAAAGTAAAATTATCGTTACACGTTACTAGAATTGACACTGGACGAAACTTAATTGGTGAGCAGAGTGCAAGGAGATACCCGTATCGATCACGGAACAGTTCCACAATTTTATACCAAACTAGCATAGACTACACCTAGACTACAAAATGTGGTCGAGACGATGAGTAATAATCGTAAAGCCTTTCCCGCTGTTCTTCCGATTGTTGAAAATCAAGGCTGTCGCTTGCCTAAATTGGACAGTAAGTTGTTGGGTCAGGTCGACGCACACGTGATCCATGCCGATTGTCTCGCGCGTGTCCCTAAGCAAAGACTCACGTGCAACACACGTTCGTCGAACTATGACGAGAGTCGAGGGTGAATTTGCACGATGGCTCGTCACTTTCAATGCCACGTAGTAGAGCGCTACGGGGGTGTACCCCACCATGGTTCTCTGTATGGGGTGAGTCATGGTACTCCCTCCCGGTTTGGGCGTGGTAGCCACTGCAGACGTTCCTCATCGATCTCCCCACGGCCATGGAACACCATAGGGCTGAACCAGCCACGCCAAGGTAGTCTTTTTTAATACTAAGGGCCTCACGGAACGAGATGCACTCGTTCGGTTATCGTCTTCGAGACACTTTCCATCCAAAACCAGTTTACATGAATGGAAATTTCTTTGATTTCTGCCAACTGACGTCACTTGATCTTATCTTCTAATACTGCGATTATGAAATAGATTTCCTACAATTTCATTAAGTTCGAAGGAATTTGATAACACTTACATTATAGATAGCGGATAGGTTTTATGCACTGATTGGAAATTTAAAGATAGAAAAATTTTTTTAACAAGTATCAAGCCCGGTGAAACAGAGGTCTTCTGTCGAGGTCTCACTTCTTAAATTACGAGATACAGAAATGTGAATTTCTTTGCATAAAAGTCCGCAGTCTAATTCTACTGCAGTGACAAAATATTGATTTTTTTTTTCTTTTTTTGAATCATAGAAACACTACTTGTATAGTGATGTACACTCCTGCAGGTTTCTGCACGATATCGATTATTCTACTGCGCTCTTCATATTCTCACAGAATTATATCTACGTTATTTTATTTACTTTTTTAAGTAACGTCGTATTTACGCAAATTTTACTCATTAATTACTGCCTTATAAATAATATAACATACAACTATTGGTATACATTTTACTTTATGAAGCTTTCGTATTTATCTATTAATTTTTTTCACATTTTTATCCTGAAATTTGGAAATTTACTTGTCGCTTATTGAAATCGGCCTGATACAGCAGTCTTGAACAGCATTTTCACGGAAACACTTGTATGGGAATGACGTCTCGACTGTTTAATAATATGGCAGAATTTTACGCTGTAATAAATGAAACACTGTTTGGTATCAAGGAAGCGAAAGCTGCATCGTAATCGTTGCGATATCGTACAGTGTATTGTTATCTGTTTGCTCGTGGTAATCTCGAATAAGTCACATACGTTTCCTTATATGGTCATGGTTGATACACCTTCGATATTTGTCATTGTAATTTTTCTAATCGGAATGGAATGTTTAAACCTAATTCGCCTTATCTCCCTCTTTCGCCGACTCCACTTACAATTATTCATTTAATTATTATTTACGAGCGCGCTTCCTTTTTTTGAAAATCGCACAACGAAGGTTTTTACAATGCGTCGTATCATTGTTTTCGACAATTAGTCAGGCAATGTAACGTTATCTTGCCAACGAAAAAAAAATTATATTATTATACGAAATGTAGAGCTATTGAACGCCTTTACGTAAGACCGTGTGTCGCGAAAAATTCCACCGCGAATTTTTGCAGAGAGTTTCTTTTTTGCTAAAAGTCCTGTTCCTTTTCTTTCTCGCACGTTGTTAAAAAAGAGAACAATAAATTCCAGAGACGTCTCCTACGAAGATTCTCAACCACACGTGGCGCGGCAACTCCAAAAGCAACTGCCACAATGTAAACGAACCAATATTCAAACGCAAACATGGAAGTTGGAACGCAGGTTGCGACCAGTCATCGTCTTGGAAGGCGCTTGCCACTATCCAAGAAGTCTCCTAGAACTCTCTTGCAAACGCACGCGGGCACACATAGGTTAAAATTCGAATTCCCCTCCAACTGAAAGCTAGACGATGATTCATCGGCCGAAGCTCGTATGGAATTTCTGCTTCCTCAAGTGACAAATTGCCTCTTCCACGATTTCATCCTGCTGGCATTCTTTCCTTTCTCTTATCGTTCGCAGTTATATAAATTTAGCTTCGTTTCTTCATTTTTAATCCTCTGTCGAATTTCTGGTTCTTCGTTTGTTCGTTGCTGAAAATCAGTAGAGAAGCACAATATTATCAGAATTGTCAGAAATGAGATAAATCGCTTTTTTCGCTTTTTGATAATATGAATGACCGTGGTATGCAATGTACGATCGTATAATTTTTTTAAATGTTGTTTAAACAAAAAGATGATTGAATCGAAACTGTTTAAATCTAACACTTGACAAATTCAATGTTGATCTATTATTATAAATATCAATTAATAATCTTAAATAATAACGATGGATTGATCTTATATTGTTAATATTAATTCATTAAATCAATCTGTTATTTTAATTATCTGAATATATATATATATATATATGTTATCTAACTTGATAGAATCTAAAAGTTATTGAGTCAGAGGTTACAAAGAAATTTATTCATTTTCTAAATTAGTTAGTCAGGGAAAGAAAGAAATGAATCCTGTTAACAAGTACATTTTTTTAAATATATCTTAAGAAAATCTACTATTTCAATGTTGATTTGTTATTGAACTGTGTTGAACTATTTCAATGTTGATCTATTATTATAAATATCAATTAATAATCTTAAATAATAACGATGGATTGATCTTATATTGTTAATATTAATTCATTAAATCAATCTGTTATTTTAATTATCTGAATATATATATATATATATATGTTATCTAACTTGATAGAATCTAAAAGTTATTGAGTCAGAGGTTACAAAGAAATTTATTCATTTTCTAAATTAGTTAGTCAGGGAAAGAAAGAAATGAATCCTGTTAACAAGTACATTTTTTTAAATATATCTTAAGAAAATCTACTATTTCAATGTTGATTTGTTATTGAACTGTGTTGAACTATTTCAATGTTGATCTATTATTATAAATATCAACTAATAATCTTAAATAATAACGATGGATTGATCTTATATTGTTAATATTAATTTATTAAATCAATCTGTTATTTTAATTATCTGAATATATATATATATTTGTTATCTAACTTGATAGAATCTAAAAGTTATTGATTCAGATGTTACAAAGAAATTTATTCATTTTCTAAATTAGTTAGTCAGGGAAAGAAAGAAATGAATCCTATTAACAAGCACATTTTTTTTTTTTATGTGTCTTAAGAAAATGAAAAATGGTTTGTCAGCATTCAGAAGAAAGTTGCATCTGCGCACGCCGGTGATTTCTATAATAAATGATTTAAAAAAACTTTGTAAAGAATCAAGGTATTCCAGCGTCGGTATATATAACGGGTCGACAGGTGTCGTGATGAAAGCAGGTTTTCTTCTACCGATTCCCCCGTGGTCCTCCTTTAAATCAGTGCCGTATTTATGATTCACCGATACACTGTAAATTTTTGTGCAATCGACTTCTGAAAAATTAGTTGGAAATTAACTGCCCATGATCATTTTCAAGTTAACCAAATTCTTCTCTTCTCAGAGATTTGAAAGAAATGAACTGAATTTTGATTCTGTAAATAAAACAAACGCAATAAGTATAGTTATTTATAAGTAAGTAAAGTACATTTATATAATACATGTTAATAGATAAAGACAAATTACTTTTAAATTAGAGCAAAAATTAAATTCCAATATTTTCTTGGAAACAAGACTAGAAATTAATAAAACTTCCTCGTGTTATTTTCTTCTAACAACATGTTCTACTATTTAACTCTGAAGTGGATCATTGGAGACGGCGCAGCCTTATACAATTAATAATTATATCATGTGTTCTTACCAGTATTTAAAAATTTATATAACCCTCTGTCATCTCGTTATGCACGCTGCAAAAGGAAATTAAATATAAATTTAACACAAACTTTAGCTATTAAACAAAAGTTGAAAGTGATTAATAATCACACGTTTTCTTGTAAAACGTATACAAAAATGTCCAGCTATAAATAGGAAAAAACAGAGAAGAGTTTCTGCATAGCCGAATAGGAAGCATCACAAGATATTCTGTTTCAAAAGATATGTGAACATGCAAATAGATAGTCGTAGATTCAAGATAGCGAAGTGATTTTACATTGTCGGTCATCAATGTTCCCATTGTGATGTTAGTTGGGGGAACGAGAGTTCTAGGATACGTTCCTGAATACTGTCCCTCAAGACCCGTTTCCGTGCTCCCTCGATGTAGCCCCAAGCAATACACGGGGTCCCATTCCGCGCAGAAGTGCAATGTACTCGATAATCCGAGCGCCGGAGATATACGCATATTTCACGAACGCAGAAAACGCGGGCGAGAATAACAAGATCGAGCAGAGAGCGGGGAATTACAATTTTTATTAGACTGACTGTACATCCGGAATTACAATTGCTCAAGTAATACGTGACGAAACGTAACCGTGGTCCCTGAATATTTGAGCATTTCCGGCTGAGAACCGACGGATTCAGAGGAAACGACGACCGTAAAAGGCTGATACAAGATAATTAAAGAAGCAACATTTCGATTGTATAATGTATGCTTTCGTTTGTAATATTGTCCTCCTTTAAATACCTTATCTAGCATTTTTTTGTACACATATGTATATATAAATATATACATATGTCTTCATTTAAATACCTTATCTAGCATTCTTTTGTACACATATGTATATATAAATATATACATATGTCCTCCTTTAAATACCTTATCTAGCATTCTTTTGTACACATATGTATATATAAATATATACATATGTCCTCCTTTAAATACCTTATCTAGCATTCTTTTGTACACATATGTATATATAAATATATACATATGTCCTCCTTTAAATACCTTATCTAGCATTCTTTTGTACACATATGTATATATAAATATATACATATGTCCTCCTTTAAATACCTTATCTAGCATTTTTTTGCACACATATGTATATATAAATATTTCCACTGTCTTATATGTATATATAAGATAGTGGAAATATTTAAAATCCCCTTTGCTCCTTCATCTTTCAAGTATGTTTTCACGGAACAATGGCTGAATATTCTTAGATTAAACGAAGAGAGACAAGAACCGTGTAAGAAAATAAGGAAACTTCAGATGATTTATGTAATAGATAGGCTATTTCAATCAAGGGAATAATGATCTCGTTTCTGCAGAACGCAATGGAATTTCTAAAGTATTGATTGACCATGTGTTATTCTAATTTTTGCAATTTGTAACATCGATAACATTTAATGTATATTCTGCAGTTACACGCGAAAACAAGAACAACAATTATAAGAATGTGAAAGTGTTATTATCATTGTGACATCACATTGTATAAATATCGATGAATTATGTGAATATATTATTCCAATGATGAGACACGACGAGAGTCGTACGTTATCAGAATATATTATCATGCGTACACAAATAATGGATTACACGTAGAAAAACAATTTTACGAAATGATATTATAATTCGATTATTGCAGCTGTTCCTATGGTATACTTAAAAGCATGAACTCTTTAAAGCTGCAGCAATTCTGTTATGTATTGTAACCAGATTGCGCAACAGGTGCATTAGTTGCATTTATGAATATGAAATAAATAGTTTTTCCACTCTAGAGTGGAGTTTTAATTAATAAGTTTTCCACTCTGCTGTGGAAAAATTAGTTTCTAATCTTCAAACACTGTGTAAAATTTTATGTTACGAACACACGACAAACATTTCCAATCATATATGTAGATCTTTCTATAAACTTCATAAAAGTGATGTTTTAAAGAATTTCACTATTATTATTTCAATACTATCACTTTTGTCATATTATCTCACGCTTTGTGTATATAAATAAAATGTATAAAATTTATTATAGAAGAATGATATAAAATTATTACATTACAAATTGTATGTACTATATGTTTTATATACTAAACATTTTGAAATTTAACATTGTCACAATAACATTGGTAAAGTTTAAAACCAATCAGAGAATACATAGTTACAACAAGTTACAGAATATTTCAGAGTCTATATATACATATCCTTAGATGTATTTCAAATTTGGCCAGTACAATTGTGACAATTATAATTGTGTTAATGAAATTTCAAAATGTTTTATATAATAGATGTGACATACATTCGCAAAAGATCCTTCTAAGTATTCGAATACTGCATACTTCATTTCATTTTGTATTTAGAATAAAAAAAAAGAAAAAGAAATTGCTAATTACTCAGTGGACCTTCATTTCGTCTCGGATGATCGCGCGCAATAGATTATTTTTCTTCGATATATTAGTATCTTTTTTTTTTCTCGTTTAAGCTTGAGAGCTGTGAGAAACGAATCTGGTTGAACGCGGTGTCATTACATAAATTGCAAGCGATTAATTATGATACGCATATCCGCCCTTCCCACATCGTGAATCCGGCGAGTAAATTCCCAGGCGATTTTTTTCCATAGCTTCTCCTCCAAGGACTCCTTTTGTGCGACCTCTAAAAGAACTTGAACTTGAAAAAATGTGGAGCGGCACGTACAGACAGCTACATCCGGACGGATACACGCGAAATTTATTCATCAATTAATTGCAAGTTTGATCGAGAAAGCTACGTACATTTAAAACTCTCAATAAGGTCAAATAAAATTGAGACAATTCTTTTTCTCTTTTAAATTTAGTTTCTTTTTTTTTCTTTTTCTTTCTTTTCTCAGAAAGCACTTACTAGAGCGCAGCGCGAATAAAATACGCAAAAAGACGTCGGAATTGCTATTTACAATGAATTGCAATCAATAGACGATGATGTTAAATATGCGTAACCGAAGTATGAATCTAAATGAGAATCACGATACGAGGATTCAACGTGATCTAATTATATCGCATCGCACTATTACTTTCCATGTTAAATAGACACAAATACATACAAATGCGTACGTACAAATCCATTGTTGTGTACATATTTACAATCTTCGTGCTTTTTAACATATAACGCAGGGTACTTTTACCCTTGGTGCTTCTACCCTACTGTAATCTTTACATCGATCCCTTTAGCTTCGTTTATGCCTGACAGTAATTAATAATTTCTCAAATCATTTTCACAAGTCAAGTTCATTTATATGAAGAGAGAATCAACGGCATTAATCTCAATGGCGATCTTTTTACTTCACCAATTTCTGTTATATATACTTTGAACTTCGCATTTGTCGCTAAAAATCATTTTCAACTCAGGCTCGTTTTTCAAAGTCTGCAGAGCCGAATTTAACCTTTTTATTCCATCTCTCAATCTCCATTCTGCTTTAAAACTTCCTGTTAAAATCACGAGAGTAATGTACTTGAAATCATCAAAGGTACTCGAACGAGAAGACAAATTGAAACAAATTGAAGAATTGAACATTTCAAGACATCTCTATGGAATAACTATACTTAACACACAGCACAATACAATCTATTCAGGCATGAAAGTTATTGATAATTATTCGACGTTGCGCGATAATTATGCAGTTCTACCCTTCGACACGGCGAACGATTCCGAGTACATACAATGTATATATGCGGAGTACAGCGTAAGTATATCGACCCCTGCATCTGCTGTGCTCAGTATGTGGGACGAGCTATCGACAAAGACCGTATTATGGATCGTATATCGAACTTCGTTTCTATTCTCGCACCATACACTTTACAAATTATCACCTACCCTGTCCATCCTTGTATAATGATAAACTACAAAGACCTCTCATTATGAGTCATGCAATATTCATGTGGCAATCAATGAAATAATCAACAGAGTGAATTTCGATGGAATTTACACGTCAAAAATTTGAATGCTGTTTCAATTATTTGCCGCTTTATTTATTTAACAGTTAAAGAAAAGTCGAAAAGAAATTTCACTTCAACTACAAAATGTTAAAGCTTCCAATATAAAAGTCATTTTTGATTAGAAAGCAATTCTATCGCCACTAGAACAATTGGTAATGTTATGAAATTCTCAGGGGGTTGATAACCGATAGTTTTCAGTGATTAATAGTTGCTGAAGAATATATGAACATTAAGCAATTAGGTTTATATATAAATATTAAGCAATTAGGTTTGTTCATATTTATTTATCTGCACAATGAAGTCAAGAATGTATAGAACGCGTGTAACATGCAGAAATGCATAAAATAGTAAATAGAAAAAGTTACACGTCTCAAGTTATCATATAGTGATAGCTTACAAGAATAAAAGAATCAAAATAAAAGTCTCTCTCTATCAACTTTGATAGCTAGTCAGATTTTTGTTATGATGTATATCAAGATAATGTACATGTTCTTACAAAAGTCAACTTGAAAAGCTAAAACTTAAAAAATAATAGAAATATATAACTGTTAAATGTTTGTTACTATTAAATGCAAAGTATAGTAATCGTTGTGATATTTGAAATGTTTAACGTTCATTGCTATGTAAAATATAATATTTAGTTGATGAAACGAATCTCTACTCAAGTTCCATTTCTTTGATCACTGTTTGTAAACGTTCGAATTTATATAGAATGCTGTTTATTTATATGTCACGGTTGAGACACTTTTTAAAGCACAAGGAAGAAGTGAAACACACAAGCTCATCGCACTTACCAAGAGGCCACGTGTTGAGCTCAATTTCTATTCTGGTAACGCGTTCTATATTTGGAATAACTATGTGTAGTTGTTTGGCTTATATCTTATCATTGCTGCGGACGCGAACTTTCTATTGCTCCTGTTTCTCACGTTGACAGATCAATTAAACGGCTAGTTACTTATTTAATTATTAGAACATTATATCCATGTATCATTACACCATGCAGGAAAACAAAACAAGCACTCGAAATTGCTTGATATTCATAGAAATTTATATAGTGATATATTTATAAACATGTAAGATGAGTATCTTGCTCCTAGTGTTAACGCTGACAGGCAATTTGTATTCTCGTGAAAACGGACGTTTTTGAAACGTGTACACATGTAATTACAGGCTGTGTCACTATGTCGTAAGAAAAATTCCCTTCAATGGGAAGTGTTGGACCGCCGCCAAAATTGTAATCACTTTATTTCACCTCCTTTAATGCGAGACGCTTCTTGGATAGGCTTGTAAAAAAAAAACCACTCCATTCTCAGATAGCACACGTTTTCGTTCCACTTTCACGCAGTCGAATATTCGACTGACCGTGTTAAATACATTTGTGAAATTAAAAACAGTCGAGCGATATTAACAGGGACCACATATGTCCATATCCAGTGTCCTTGTAAATAGAAAAAGTTTCACGTCTCAAGTTTCATATAGTGATAGCTTACAGGAATAAAAGAATCAAAATAAAAGTCTCTCTCTATCAACTTTGATAGCTAGTCAGGTTTTTGTTATGACGTATATCAAGATAATGTACATGTTCTTACAAAAGTCAAAAGCTAAACTTTGTACTTGAAAAGCTAAACTTAAAAAATAATAGAAATATATAAACATACAGTTTTGAATTTTCTCTTTTAAATTTAAATCAAATTTCTGCACGTCAGAGAAATAGTTGTAGAGTTAAAAGTTAGTTTGCATAACTAACAGCTTAAGTAACATTTTAAACATAAATTTCGCAGAAAAATAAATTTCAGTTACTATCTTGAAAATTGCTATATCATTTGCTACGATACAATGGTATTAAATCAGATATTGCAACATGTTTCAAAATGGTTGATTTTGATCTTAGATAGAAAGTTCAAAGTACAAATATTGCCATTTATCATACTTGAACATTTCCAAATTTGGTAAAATGATTGATGTAAAACACAAACGTGCCTTCATTGTATTATATATGATAAACTACATTCACAAACACGCTTTTGTTTAATAAATATTTTATAAAAATCAGAAAATGTTCAAACAACTAATTAGTGAAGCTGAAACTGTTCTTATCTCTGCTCTTAAGTTTAAGTTAGTCGGCACATTATGTTCATAGATAAATATATCCTCGTATTATTTTTCTTTATTTGTCTCTCCACTCGCAGACGAGACGATACACGCCTAATTTGGATAAAAGCAAAGACCATACAACAGCAAGGACTATTATGACCACACCCATTATTCGCTAACACATCCGATCGAAATTTCACTTTCACTTCCATGTTTCACCATGAAAATTCATTCGAAGTTAATTTTAAAATGCTCAGTCTGACGCTCAGTAATTTAATTCAAATTTAAAGAAGAAAAATTTCAAAATTTCATGATCCTCTTTTTTCGTGGGACATCTTGCCTTATCCTAAAATAGAAAATTACATTATAAAATAAAGACCTTGTCGATTAACTAAAGCCCATAAACGTACGGTAGAATTTGGCTTATCTGAGTCTTTGTCGGAGGACAGATAATTTATATAATTGGAATTCATATAATATAACAGGACTCTGACTGACTCTCCTCTTTGCTTTTCTTCACTTTTTGTTCACATAATTGGAATTCAGATGCAAACAAATGGATTGAACCAGTAAGAGTTCGTTTTATCGAGTGTTGATTGAAACTTGGTACAAACGAATGGAGTATTATGTAAATGATGTGACGTTGATTGAAGTTGAATACGATTTCCCTCACTTACCTTAAACAGTATGTAAGTTAACTAGACGATGAAGATATGGATGATTGCTCGGAAATCGTACAAATTCAAGTTTCCATAGGCGAAGGGTCTTGAAGTTACCAGGTACGAGCCTACTGCCTTTCTTTCTTCGTCTGCGAAGTCCCTCGGCCCCCGTCCTACTCGAGAAGGATGCCTTGCGCACAGTATCCAGCCATTCATCCGGTAGTTTTTGCCTGTCGACTTAACGAACGTGCACTCCGTTCCAGTTTCATTCAACCCGATTTTTTGCCACGACGACAATCGTCCGCCGATTACGAGGCCGCATGGAATGAATGGGAGCGGGGAGTGTGTATTAGACCCCAAGCTCGCGATGAAGTCGAAAATCGCTCAAGCCTGAAAAATGATTTCTCTTATTCAGTTCGTGCTTGCTTGGAAAATTGAAAATATATTACAACAATGACAATGAAGTTCCGTCATTTTACTATTTCATTCTTATTTACTATATTGCGACGTAAAAAAAGAAGATTAGACTTATTTATAAAATATCTAAGATAAATGTTTTTTTCTATTCTAGACTTTCAAGATACTTGAAAGAGCTCTAGGTTTTTGCTTGTCAAGTTATCAACGTTTGAAATTTCGACGTTTGAAACGTCAGACTTTCAGAGAAACTAAAACAGCTCTATAATACCTTAGACGAGATTTATTTGAAAATTTTCTCGATAAAGAGGAGAACTCGAACATGGTGAAGCTTGAATTTAAATTTTGTAGCAAAAATATGATTTTTAGGAAGATATAATCTTGACAAAAAGAATTAAAAGAAGTTCTTTAAGTTCTTTGTTAATACTCTCCAAGTACCTTGTAAGATACGGGCGAGTTAAATTCGAATGCGCCTCTTCGTACGATTCGAAATGCATAGAAAGTAAGAAGGTCCTCGAGGTGACTCGTCCTTCGACGAAGCTGAAGAGTCCATCGATCCTGTCTGCCTGACGAAGCGGAAATGGCTATTTATAACTACGAATGCTTCTTGAATTTTTATTTACAGCGAGTAGAGCCCAGTAGAAGTGATATAATCGCTTTACAATTCGATTCGACGTAGCCTTTAATTTAATTTCCAAAAAATTAAAAATATTATAGAATATAAAAGTTAATACGTAGAATAATGTTGCCCAACAAATGTGTTATTAGCGGTTGTTGAAAAGATATTCGCATCTCTAAATATGCAAAAAAAAAAAAAAAGAGGAAAGAGAATGATTTGAAAATTCGAAAGTAGTTGACACTGTCAAAGAAGATGCAGTTAACTGGAAGAGATGACCTACATAGTGTCCACGCATGACTACACTGATAGAGAGAACTCTCACATGTATAGGGTGAGCTAATTGTAATCAACTGCAACGCATGTGAGCATTACTCTGGAACGTTCAGGATCGCTTCCGATTAATTTGGACCTCCCCCATGTGACACACATATAAAAACTCGTAGCAGCGATGTCACTGAAGATACTTACATTAGAATCATATAAAGATATACTAGGTCGAAGATACAAGTTTTCTAAAAATAAATTTGTGAAATTTTATATAAAAGAGTAATACCACATTAATTAATTTTGACTGGGATAATAAGGACATAGAGTGAAGAGCATAACTGATTGTGAGCCAATAACGATGAAGAACATATTCAAAGTTCAATAAAACAATTATGACTGGCATAATGGAGACATGCTTGATTCTAAAAACCAAATAAAAATATCTTTTTGCTAACTACTAAATCCACATAATCTTAACTATTACCGTCGTTGCTGTATAAAATGCATGTAATCGTTATAGATATACTACCATCGTATTTCAACCAACTGATTGTTTTTCAATTCTCAATGATATACAAGTCAATTTCAAAAAGGTCAAAGTATGAGGACGATACTGTAGGCCATTAAGACTGAATATTTCTATGAATGGCAAATGAGGGGACCGGTTGAGCTACTTATGTACATGGATAGCTAACAAGCTCCAAAGTTGCACAGATAAGGCAAGACCTTGCTTCTCTGAACAAGGACACCGGTCGTCGTCTTGCCATCTAGACAACATATCCAGCTATACAGCTGTTCCACTTTCATATGCATTGAGACTAGTGCACTTGGCCTAACGTATACATAAGGACAACATACAGGTAGAAAATGTGGAAACTATAACCAACGGGAACTCTTCGAGTGAGTAATTTCTTTCCATTACAGAAGCTCTCTTCGGGAGATTACACTTTTCCTCGAATCTCTTAGGCCGTTTACAATGGCCACTGTGAGAACAGAAAGCGGACGTCGATCGTTTCGGCTTTTTGCTTCGACGACTTTCATCAGATAGTTGTCAGCAGGACGACTGACGAGAGATTGTAATTTCGAAAAATCGAACGACGCAATGGAAATATTCTTCCGTCGCGTCGTCGATAGAAAGTAGAGCAGAAAATAGATGAGAGGAGGCAGAAGCGCGAAGAAATTAGTACGACGACAGTTCGTTTGTGCCGGTAAACGGAGATGTCTCCCAGTTTTCAAGCTGGGTATGTCTCAGCGGAGCGTATAAGTTTCTTGAAAAGAAGCAAATCGAGAGCGATAGTCGACTGTCGTTTCACCGCAAAACTCGACACCAACGGTAACGAGGAAAATAGCCGGAATATATTTAATGTGTGGCGGAGTAACTTCACAGTGAAAAAGCAACGTGTGCGTGTTTTATTAACGTGTTCGGTGTAGCTTGGAGAACTAACTGAAATGTATAAACATGTATCAAATAAATATTAAGAAACAAACAAGAAAATATAAACTAAGACTAAGAAGCTACACTCTGAGAAATTGAAGTACCTTGTACGTGTTCCTTGTATTTCAAAAATATATACATTTAAATTGTTATTGTTATTACAGATAACTCTATTATCATATACGGACTGTTATTGTTACATAGTTTCGATTATAATTTGATCTTAGTATCTAGCTTTCCTTGGTTCAAAAGATATAGGCATGATATTTTAGATGTTCTAAAAATTTTAAATAAATGCCTGCAATCGAGAAACCAAAATTAATCACTTTTTCTGTATTATTAAAAATAATATTATATAATTAACATGTTATTATACTAAAGTATAAAATAATTGTATCATGTTAACGATAATTACCAGAAGGAACATCTTCCTTTATAGCACGTTCATTATGACACGATATATTCATTATAATAATTTTATTTGTTTAATCTTCACACAATGCTCGAGCATAGGCGTTCCGCGCTTACGTGTATATATATGTATACTCGTTTAAAATCAGTAGTGCAAGGAATATTAACTTTCGCGAATGATTGATGTATTATGCTTTCGTGTTTCATGCTCGTTGTTTCGTAATAACGCGATGCATTGCTCTTCCTTGCTTATTGTTTCCTGGCGAACATCAGCGCCAGGCTTCCAAGAACGATTTCTGAAATCATTCGAATAAATCAATCTCAGGAATTTCGTATTGTCTGTCATTTCTTCGAATTTCCTTCCTTCATTGATTCAATGTTTCGTCCTAAATTTGAAAGAAAAGAAGAACAAATTTTTGTCAATTTTCCATAATTAAATATCTTCTGATACCGTAAATACTGAATATTATCATTGTGATATTTTTGAATCTGACATAAATATCTTAATAAAATTTAATCAAAGCGGCATTAAAATGAAAGAATCGAAAAGATCGTAACAAGAAAGAGACAGCTCCATCTTTTTACATATTTTTAAAATATCTTGCAATATTTCATTTTTAATATGCTAGCTCTAAGTAAATGTTTACTATGGTTGACCATAAATTTATTTTCATTTCACGTTGATTTACCAAAATTATTCAAGGCTGAAGCTACCTCCTTGTTGCAGCAATTCTTTCAATTAACAACAATCTATTAACAACAATCTATCACGTCTATCCTGATTTTCAAACGTAACCATTCAAAGTCCCGCAGATCGTAGTCTCGCAAAAAGTCTCCGCGCGGCTATTTGAATAAGCGGAAGGACGAAGCCATCGTTTTTGGTAATTCTAGCGACCCACGGCCGTGTTCCAAATCCTTGACTTCTCGCGGACGCACGCAGATACGCGCAAGAAAACGGAGTCAAGAACGTAAGCAACAGCCTGGCGACGTATGTGAACACATACGTTTTACCGGTTGTCTACCTGTTCTGGGTCAGTCGCGTGTGCAAGGTCAGATCCCAAGAATCTCAAACGTCACTCGTCAGAGCCGAAGACCGCAGATCTTGCGTGCCAGCTAGAGTGGAATGGTCGAGTCGTCATTCTTACCTTCGATTCGACGATTCACGACGCGGCAAAAATAATGCGTAATGCGGAGCTGGAAAGAAGACGAACGACAGGAACGCGGGTCTGATCGATCGTTTTTGATAGTTCAATGCATTCTTAAATATAAGAACATCTATCGGTCGAAAGTACTACTGTAAAAACAAACGAACTCGTGTAACAATCTCGGTGCCCGTCTCGTTAGTCTTCTTTGCAACTCTCAAGTACATACATACATATGTACTTCCTACTGGCATTGACGAATTCATCTTTCCTTCGAATCCATGGCCATCGCATTGAGAATATTCGGATTAAAATTCTCTATGGTTCTAGAAACTCAATTCCAAAGCCGTTCAACTTTCACGTTAAGACGAAATTTTAATTTATTCGAACGTGAATTTTTTAAAAACTGCAAACTTTAACCTTGAATTTTCGAATGCTAATGAAATATTCTTGCGCGAATATCTGGGATATTTTTCGAAATGTGATTTTTCACTATCAATTTGCGATGGGGGAACTTTGTGCGGAAAAACCTGATAAATTATGAGATACAGAATTGATGATTTCTATCTTATCCAAACTCATTAAAAATATCTACAGACAAAAAAAAGTTGAAGTATGATTTCTACAGGAATTATCAACCATTCTAACTTACTAACTTCCATCACTCTTACAGTAACACGGCGTATCAAAATTTCATTTAAAAAAGTATTACAATCGATTATATCTTTCTTTTTTTTTTAATTACTCGAAGAAAAGTCGCTAAAAATCTAAATGACGGTATCTTTAAAGTTCACGATAAATTGAGTAACTACATTCCTAACTACGTAGCTAAATGTATATAACTAAAAAATGAAATTTCTTATTTTCAATTATTTCCTTCTTGTGATTATGAATGTCTCGTGCAGTAAAAGTATTATACGCGATGAATGAATAACAACGTATTCTGAGTACGAGATGAATCGTTATCGAATGTAAAATCGATGTGTGTAGTTTGAATCATCGACGAATCTTTTAAACAGAATTTCAAGTCGCGAGTACGCGAATAACAAGTTGTATGATTTCTATACACGAACTATTATCGTTCTCTTTATCGTCAGCTGCGCAGACGTCACTGTTTCTCGATCTGACGAGACACTAAAGTCAACACTAAATATAGTGATCGCGTATTATCGCGCGTTTCTGCCCGGATTCCTCGCATGGCTGGCAATCGCCAATGAGGACTGTTACTACGACTAGAAATTAATCACGTACACAATTATCTCTTACTTAAGCATAGTTGCAAATTATCATCACAGCAGATGTGTGAACCTGGAGAATAAAAATTAGCCAAGCATAACTATATCTGAAAATTTTAAACAACACCCAAGCTATTAGATTTAATTACCTCTTCTATGTGGAATAGACATTGTTCTAAACGATAATTTATCTTTTCAGCACAATAGTTTCTAGATACAATTCCAATAAATCCATCATATCTTATCAATTTATTATTGTTGTATATAAGTAAAATTTCGACTCTTAAGGATGGAAATAAACTTAAAATTTGATCGTACATTTTCCCTCGAAATGAATTAAGGAATCATGATACAAGATGTATCATGATTCCTTAATTCAGTTCAATGGAATCTTTTACCTTCTACTTAAGGACAATTCAGGTATTACGCGTGAACAGCCACTTGGTTGTACCTTGAGGAGAACAGAAGTACGTAAGAGGGATTTCTTTTGTTCTTACCAAGGGAAAGTAAAGAAGCATCGGTGAAGTACGTGTTACATGCAATTCAAAGGGAATTAAAGTACCTACTACTTGAAAAATCTTCCGCCTGTATCACCCCTCGAGAATTATCAAGATTTAGATAACTTGTACTAATCTCACAATATTAAATTATCGCACTACGGAATTCTACAACGTGTAATCTTCTTATTAAAATGGACATTTGCGAACGCGGCAAACCTCTGGAAAAACTTGATACACTTAATTCCCTCATTATCTGTCATTTACAAATCAATGATATTAATTAAGTCAACCAACGTGCAAAAGAATAATTACATATAAAAATCATGAGCCAATCTCATTATAAATTTCATTATAAATTTCATCAAAAATTTCCGACGAGTAAGCAAATCTATTTAAAAGAAATTCATACAATTATTTTTAATCTTCCTTTTCAGCTTCCAATTTTTTCTCAAGTCCGATATTACCTGATATTCTCGATTGGTGAAAAACGTGTTGTACAAGGTCTTTGACCTCGTTACGGGTGATTGATTCCCGATAGTTTCACTGTCTGGACCGAGTGTACGCGGCTAGTCCGATGAGAAAGAACCTTAAGCACTCTTCTGGGTGGGTGCGTTGAACTTACCGTCGCATTCCGTATTGATTTCGGTGGCACTGCACGACTGGAGCCAGACGTTACCTACAGCACGTGTCCGTGTAGGGCAGACACGCCCAATTCGAACTTTCCACAGAACGAAATCAGGGATCTCACGGTGATAAAGGAAATACAGTGTAGTAAAATAAGCTGATCTTCTAGTGAGAATTGCAGCCAAACACTTTCACTGAAAACGGCCGATGACTAAAGCGTGGACATAATCGGTTAATCGTTATGCCGATGGCACAGCTGGAGCCTTACGCAAGGCCTCGAAGACCTTGAACGGGACCTTATTTGGTAAGCAAGGTCGAGGCTTTGCGGACCATTGGGTTTTCAGGCCGCCCACAATGCATCTCCACCTTACTTGAATTTAATTCTTCCTATTGCGGGCTTGCTACGATAACGAAGAAAGTAAATAGAGACGGGCGTCATGTGATCCCGATTGGAACAGTAAAGGTTGACATTATCACGTGGTGTTGTAACGTATAGTGATACGAAGCTTTTTACTTACTTTATTAACCGTAAATACATCGTTTTTTCATACTGTAATCACGTAACGTATAGAAACTGTCTTTTGGCATCAATCCGATCAATCGCAGAAACAAACTCCTCAATCGAAGCTTAATCATTTGACTTCTAGAAAATTAAACATTAATCTGATATTAAGATTAAGAAATTTACGAAAAATGTAGTTTGACTTTTGTGTGGCTTGTATTACATACGTACATATATAATCACCTTGTACTTTGTATAATCGATGGAAATGATTTCCATAGTTACCGGCGTGTTGTCTTTTAATATCTACTTGAATAAAGTAACATATTTCCTACTAAAAACCTGAAGAGTTAAAAGGATGAAATTATAGGGAATTGACATAAAGATGCTGCGTGCATGCGACGCCGCACCGGCTTCAATATTTCGAGGTTAGGTTAGACTGGTGAACAATCCCGCTGATCTAGTACGTTAGTGATACATGTTTAAATTTCACACTTATCTCAAGTAGAAGTACATTGAAGATGTATCATTTCAAATATATCCCCTAAAAATCCCCGTGAGATTAATAACAAAATCAAGAATAGAATTTGACATGTCCTCATAGAGGACCGAGTGCATAACCCGAAACGATTTCTTATTAGGCACAAATGATTCACCGACTATGTCATCGAGTTACTATTTCGACGAAGGAACGTGACAGGTGTATTTATAAAACTGTCCTGTTTTTTACGACCATATTTTTCGTAATGTCCAAGTTTAATTCCTTCAACAATAATAATATGTTTTACACATATCTCTTGCAAGATATTAAGGTCAGAGTAATTCTGTTAATACGAATTAACCAATTTTAGAAAAATGTTTTTAAAAAAATTTCAAATATATCAATTTAAATACGGACAATACATAACAAACTAAATAGAAGTACGTATCAATGTTTCTGTCAGTTAATTTCTTTGTAAATACTTTCCTTCTTAATTGACATGTTTTATCAATGACAATCATGGCTGACAGATACGTTAATTACAAAATATTTAATGAGAAAGTAACATACGACATATCGGTCGTACTTTGACGTTTTCATCACCACGTGGTTTCCGTTCACAGGCACGATCTGCCACTGTAGAGTGCACGAACACTCGTATCGATTTTGAAGCAGACACTGCACTCATACATACCATGCTGCCTTTCGTCGGACGGCACATATATAGAAAATAGGGCCGAAGCGTAGGGCTTACGTGACGTGGTAGTAGTCCAGTGCACCCTTATCCGCGCCCTTGAGTCTATTTTTAGCTTCTGCCGTATGAAAAAGGCGACCGAGATGATACATACACGCGATAAGTGGGTGGGCGATCATCGACTTCATTTAATTACTTGCAGTCTATCTTATAATTCTTGGAAAGCACATTGAATTTTAAATAGATAATAGTTGTCCTATTATAAAACGAAATCTGAACAATCAATGTGCATAAATAATCGAATCTGACCCACTGACTCTCTAAATCTATCTTACGAATTATGTTTTCTTCTGGCACAATATTTGAAAAAAAAGAAAAGCAAATACTAAACCTGATATTCACACTGATATGAGTCATTAATGTGTGTTGATGTTACATACAAATTGACTGAATCTTTACAGGAATAAATTATCGATGACTTTCTGCAAACATCAAATTGCCCCATCTCATTATAAAGGTAGAACATTATTTTATTAAATTATAGAAGAAAGTAAATTCATTACCTCTCTTCATTCGAAGATTTTCTTTCTTCAAATACATTCTATTTCCTGATTGGAGAATCTAGCGTGAAGATATAGTGATTCTATTATCAATATACGTACGTACATGTACACATATGACTATGCAATCCGAAGGAAATATGTACGATTTCTACTGGCGATTGTTTTAATCATCCTACGCAAAAAGATAGATTTTTAACACTTAAGAGAAGAAATCAGCATGAAATTGAAGCAAGAAATCGAGTACATTAAGAAATCTTTTAACGATTCAGAAATACAACTGAGTCGAAAAGTCGGACGGGGTTAACAATGTGTTTCCTGTCTTGTGAAAGATTGCAGATGACTGGAGAATCATTAAGTCTTAATGACAACTGTTTCGCCTTCCATTAAGTAAAACAAAAATATTGACCATTTCGGAGAACATACATACATATATAACAAAACTTTTTCTGACTCATACCTACTGCCGGTACTGGTCGCTAGTACACATACATATATAAAGAACGTGGTAATCTTCGCATATATTGATATGTTCACTACCACAAACAGCTCTGACGGTTAGTCAGGAAAGCCCTTACACGCTAGTGTACGCTTCCAGAAGGCATTATGCTCCCCGTATCGTACAGTTTGAAGCGGCATTTGGAGAATCTAGCCGGCAGCCGGCCAACCGACCAATCAGCGAGCCGCTTTCGTTTTATGCCCATATATGGCAAGAGCTGTGAATCGAGGTAGTGGGGGAAGCCGGCTGGACGAATCCATTTTGAAACAGGGGTGTACTCGTACGACGATATTAAATAATATGATTTTAAAATAAACAGGTGGTCGTCGAATTTCTTAATTTTCAGACTTTCGTCGTTCCGTCGGCGACACACTGGCTACAAATTTGAAAAATAAGAGGGAAAAAGCAGAGAACATGTCCGGTAATGTGGAACATTTGCAACGTGTATGCCGACCATACCTTTCGGGAGAGTCCACATGTCACGGTACCGGCCACGATCTTGCTCACAGTGTTCGCAACTCGCGGCTCTCGAGTCTCGTTTCGTCGTGCCGATAGTACTCTTGCGGTGTCTCTGCCGATCAACGATCGAGTACTTTGTTGGTTACATCCAATTCTAAAAGGTGAGTACTGTATCATTTGGCATATTACGTTCAACATTGTTGTTAATTTAGCGAGTTTCACGGCGATCTATCACAATTTCACCGGCGAAAAAGATCGGGGACAAACGCCGGTTTGTAAGCAGCCATGATGGCAGGGCGTTGCTCTCTCTGTTTCTCGCATACATCGTTTGCCGACGCAACTTTTATTTCTCTGGGCAATTCCTCTTTTTGCAAATGTTATCTTGAGAATCGGAGAGTGTACCGGGACGATCCGACAGGTTGTCGTTCTCAAGTGGTTCCTGACGTATACGCACTGCAAGGGCAGGTGGTCGCGACGTGGTCGCGTTTATTAATAGTAGTACCCTGTAGTTAGGATGTTGCAGCACTAACCTTCGATTAACGCTTGCTCGTAGCACGAGTAAATCTGTCATTAGTCGGAGAATCTGAGAATGCTGAAGTGTAGAAAATGCCTTATTATAATATGCCTATTTCCTGTGTATATTACTCTATATTTGAATATTCGTACTCGTCGCTGTTCTAAGTTAATAATAACTGTTTCCAAGAGCCCATATAAAATAATAGCCTTATATTTGAATCCATAGTCCACATTTACACATTTACTTAGCGAGGTAACATTAATATGTAAAATCTATCTGTTAGAAAATGTAATGAGAAATGTGTGATAAGTTTGATATTTAGCGATTAATAGTTAGTAACTATTCTTAGAAATACCTCATAATAGTTATGAAGTTAGTATTCAAGCATGTAGATTGTGATGTTTGAAAATTTCATGTGCACGAGGCTCTCGTATTTGAAAAGTAGAATTACCGAAATCGTATTTAAAAAAGAAAAGAAAATTGTCAGAGATAATTATTTGAACGTGTAAAAAATGTCGACTGACATTGAATATGATCGGAACAGAACTTATGCATCGCGAGGCGAGGGAGGGAAGGATCGGCAAGATCGGAGATGTGCGGTTCGGTCAATTTGGCGGATACATTCACGAAGGGTGGTGAGACACACTTCAAATCGCGAGAGAGGGGCGGATGAAGGGACAGAGGGGGTAACCCCTCCGTGGCAGAGCACTTCCATATATGGTAAAGAAAGCCAGGATTGGCTGAGGGTGTCCTACCTTTATTGGCCGATTGCTTAGTAGTGGGGACTCCGAACAACGACTCTGTTCATATAATAACTGCAAGCCGGCTGTCAGCTACAGTCTGTGTTTGGTGCTAGATCGGCCGGTTGTGCAGCGGTGCCACATCCAAAGATACCGAGCTCTCCCTATCTTGTACATAACTTTTTTTTATACAAAATAAAAAACGTAAGTCATCCAATGCTGAGTTCAGTGATAGATAACATTGTACGATCAGGGGTCCGAGCGAATTTTAAAATCTCAGTGTAACCGAGTAAATATTTGTGCGTGGGCGAATAATTGATCGACGAATCCTTTACACGTCCGTGGATTTCCAAATCGAGAAGTGGATAGTGCCGAGCTTTATGAAATAAATTGTGTCGTATTTATTGTGTTTGTGATTGTCTCTTATTAATTATACCGTAGAATAGTGGTCGTTTTTTAATAAAATTGTAAAACAAGTATCGGTATATCGACGAAAGAAATTCTTTTCGCAAAAAGATATCGATTTCTATAGAAAAATACGTTCAAAGTATTGCAAGACCGTAAAATATTGGAGTAAGGATAGTTTTGCCAAGTTCGGAGTAATTGAGTAAAGGTTGCATTCAATTTTCTATATCCGTAATGTGTTGTAAGAACTCTGAAAATGTGTCGGATATTGACCGTTCAATGCCGGGGAAGGGCGGGGCAGGGTGCGGTTTTAGTTAACGGCGGTTTATAGAACACCGGAATTTTTTGGTTACTGATTTTTTAAAGATATTTCTCTTGTATAAATGAAGTAGAGTATATTTGTCTCTATGTTTAATGAATGTTCCGTTTATATTTAATTTTCATTATAATAATGCAACGTGTTTCTGTCAGTACGTGTCTCTGAGCGCCATCTTGAAATATTTAAAATGTTATTTCATAGCACATACTATTTTATAATTTATTATCTTCGTTAAACAGTGACACATTTACGATGTATTTCTAATAATCTAATCTAACTTTTATTATTTATTTAAAACAAAATTGAGCAATGATTGAATGTTGATTCGTTCTTGCACTTTATATCAATATCGCAAAAATTATGTTTTAAATTACAAATCTGTATTCAAAGTATTTTAAAGTATTCATATAAATGATCAATTCGTTGAGTGTTAGACTTTTTATGTTGTGTTTAATAATAATTTTTATATAAAATCGAAATTTTCTTTTGGAAAAAAGAAAATTTCAAGTTCTGAAGAAATTTGTAATGTAAATATAAAAAAAGAAAACGTACAAGATATAAAATTATAGAACAACTTGCATTAAAATTTATATTATCTTTTGACTTGGTATCCGTTAATTCAGTCGACGAATGATATAATAAAACATTGCACAATTTCGAAAAAAAAGAAATCATACGCAAATAGCTGATATTTTTGTTATTTCTTGCAGATAAATTAATAAACCAAACATGTCTGACGAAGAAGTTGCTGCACTCGTAGTTGACAATGGCTCCGGTATGTGCAAGGCCGGTTTTGCCGGAGACGACGCTCCACGCGCCGTTTTCCCATCTATCGTTGGAAGACCACGCCACCAGGGTGTTATGGTTGGCATGGGACAGAAGGATTCCTATGTTGGCGACGAGGCCCAATCAAAGAGAGGTATTCTTACCTTGAAATACCCAATTGAGCACGGTATTGTCACCAACTGGGACGATATGGAGAAGATCTGGCATCATACGTTCTACAATGAACTCCGAGTGGCTCCTGAGGAACATCCAGTACTTCTTACCGAGGCACCTCTTAATCCAAAGGCCAACCGCGAGAAGATGACACAGATTATGTTCGAAACGTTCAATACCCCCGCTATGTATGTCGCCATTCAAGCCGTACTTTCGCTATATGCTTCTGGACGTACTACCGGTATTGTATTAGATTCGGGTGACGGCGTTTCCCACACTGTACCAATCTACGAAGGATACGCTTTGCCTCACGCTATTCTTCGTTTGGACTTGGCTGGCCGTGATTTAACTGACTACCTCATGAAGATCCTCACGGAAAGAGGATACTCCTTTACAACCACGGCTGAA